CAAATAGATTAATACCTGGCAGCTATGGCTGAAACTGGGTACCTCTGAATGAGCAATCATTTATCACTAAATTACTTTCTCTAAGCCAGGTAATTTCTGATCAACATGCACAAAAACAAAGACACAGCAGTGATGTGATGTTAACCAGAGGCCATTCCCACTCACTGGGCTGGTGCAGCAATGAATGCAGAGAGAATTGTCGCTTGAATGGTTTATGAAGCCTAATGAAAAGTGACATTGCAGGATGCTCGGGATGGAGAGGACCACAAGGCTAGGTCTAGTTTGTCCGGGAATGAGTGCCACATGCAGAGAGGGATGTATGACTGGAATAATTCTCACTCAGGAGCCAGCAGTACTGACAGAGCCAGTGCTGGGATAGGGTGGGAGAGCGTTGGCTACAGAGAGGGGACTGAAGTGCATGAACTGTGTGTTAGCCACACTTTTTATTGGAAACAGATGTAGCCCCATATCGTGAGTTTTTAGTGTAAAAAGGGTGATGAGAGGTGAGGTGTGACTGAAGCAGAATCACAAAGCATGATACATTTGGAAGCGTCAGTTGTTTAAAGCTCAGAATAGGGATTCAAATCCAAAAGTTTTGGTGTGCAAAGACTTGATGTTGTTTCTGTCTCTGTAGCAAACTAGACTAAGAGCCAAGTCCAAGCCTTGTCAAAATCTGGGGCATTCAGTTCCGACATGGTAACTCCTGAAAAGAATGTCTTTTACATTTAATGAATTTTAAATGTGCTGCATATCTTCAGGGGTCTTTAAAATTCAGAGGAGTTAGAAAAAGCTCCTCACCTCAAGGAAGGGGGCCTGGTGGAAAGGAGGAGCAAGGGCATTTCTGCTTGCCAAGGGAAGCTATGGCCAAGTTCTTATAGGGTAACTTAGCTAAAGCCATGCCAAGCACCTCCAATGAGGCAAATGTGTAATATATCCCTCTGGCCAAGCAAGGTTAACTTCACTGTGCCTCATAGGGATTCTGTAATTGATGTGCATGCATACTTTTAGTCTGTGCATGAGTGTCAATGCAAAGTTAAGACGCTCCTCATTAACCTGCTGAGCTTTCCCTCTCAGCACCTCAGGGATTGCTAGGCAAGGCACCATGGGCAACTTGACAGATACCTTTTCCTTGGTACTTCGTACCTTTTTTAGTATTTCCCAACTAATAACAGGGAAGAGAAGAGCTGCTTAGATTTGTAAGGTTTGTTTCTTGACAAATGTCTCAGTTTCACAGGCAGTTGAACTGAACTACAGCGTGTGCTCCATTCAAATATGTCAATAAACATTATTGCAAAGATGTACAAACAATAATGGGAATGAATAAAACTCACCTTTATTTCTTTTTGCTATGAATTTACACAATGCTCTAAACAGCTTTTACTCCTCTAGAGGAAAGCCTTGGGACTATGCCTTTACTGGAATGCTGATTTCCCCAGTTTAAACCTTTGTTCCTTTCTCTACATCCCCACTGTGAGTGCTGGGGATGGGAGCACTGCAGCAGAGGTACAAATACATGTCTGAAGTTTCAGTCAGACTCAGTTAAAAGCTGAAGAGGTAAAGTTGCCACTCTCTAGGATAAGCTGCTGTGTATGTTATTGCCCGTCCTTTGCTTGGTCACACAATGTCAGGGAGTGAATTACATTCCACAGTGCAGTGGAAGGGAACAGCTCAGTTCCCCTCTAGCTGTAGCTTCATGAGTATGGCAGTTGTATTTCTACACATAGCAATGGAGGCTGCTCACTGCACTTCTGCAACTCTTTCACTGATGGCAGCTAAGGTATTATGTGAACAAGGCACAGTCAAGCTCTTCATCAGTGGTTCAACACTGGTTTCTCTGTAGTGACAGGTGCTCAGCAGTACTCTTAGTGTGAAAGCTTCTTGGAGGTCACAGGAGTAAAATACATTTCTGTGGCAGAAACAGGCTAAGAAGAAACACAGATGTGTGCAACAGCTTCCCAAACTGAGTTTCTTGGTAACTGGGAAGTGTAGATCAAGAAAAATGGCAATGCGCAAACACAGTACACAAGCCTGAGGGTTGTTGCAGAAAAGGGACTGGTGGTTTATGCTACTACTCCTGAGAGCTAGTATCTCTGCTGTAGCCTAATAATTCTTTTCCTTCCTCTCTGGGGTTCAGTGAGTGCCCCTTGCCTTGTACCTTGTATAACAACTTTGTATAACAACTGCATCAGGGACTGCAGTTTTGCTCTGACTTCACACGGGACCAGGCACAACAGCTTCTTGGTCCCACCGTGTATTCTCCATTTCCTGTATGATACCACCCATTGCTGCAGCAGAGCTGTACCAGTGCTCAACACAAACAGTGTGCTCTCACTGCTTTATCCCGCTGTTCTCTGTTTTCTGCCTGGGGAGATTATTCTGCTGGAGTGCCAGCTCCCATGGGTGAGAGGACAGCTGAGTGTTAGAGGTCTGGGAAGTAGAAGTTGCATGAAGCAGCTGCCTTTTCCCCTCCATTGCCTGGCTCACCCAAGAGCATGGTTCTTCTCCGCTTCCTGGGCTTCTACCCAGCTCTCCCAGCTTTGTGCCAGCAGGCGGGCTGTTCGTTTGGTGCCAGCTGCTGTTCACAGAGCTCTCACCATGCTCTGTTGCTCATGGCACTGATGCTCTCATAGCACAACCAGTGGCTGGGCTCTACCCGTGCTTCCTGGTGGCTTGCTGTCCTGCAGTGCTGGCTCTGCCTGCCGGCAGGCAAGGCCTTGAGGGTATTTTAATATCCATTAGCTCTCCAATGATTGCTGCCCTCCTGCTTTCCCTCGTGCTGTGCTGCCCACCCAGACACGTTTGATGCCCAGACGCTTGTGGGCTGGCCAGACTCTCTGTAAAGCCTCTGCCACTCTGTGACCTAGGGCAACACAAGGCTTTAGGCCAACTAGTCTTCTCTAACAGGCTCTGAAATTTGGATCCTTGACCCCCTTCTTCCATGCCAAGAAGCTTTTCCCATTGTAGCTTGGAGGAAGAAGAGTGAGCTTTGAGGCTGACCATGTAGCCACTAGGTGTCTTCAGTAATGGAGTCCAGCAAACGTAACTCTCTCCTTTTTCCCAGTCTTTCCCCGTGACTGCAGCAGTGTTCCTGCCTTGCCCCTTTTTCATATCTCTTTGCTCAGCTAAGGTATCATGGTTTTTGGTGGGGAGGAGTGGGGTCATCATGAAGTAGTATCAATCCAGGCTATAAAGCAACAGAAGACCTGAAGGAAAGCTGCAAAACTCCCATGAGGTGATATGCTTTGTGTTTGGATCCCAAGGCATGTTTGCTCAGACCTAGGTACTGAGATGGCAGTCATGATTTTTGTTTGATTTTCCTTGGGAGTGGAATGCATGGCGGGCTGACCTACCCATCACAGCTGCATTTTCTCTGGCTAGCCAGACTGTTCCTAAGTATTCTTCATTTAATCCCTGCCAAAAATACTTTTGTCTCTCTGTGGCTCTAGCAGCTCCTGCTTGTTATAGCCTGAGGAAAGAGCTCTCCACTTGGCTGCCCTTGCCTCTGCCTGCCGTATGGGGAGGCGGTGCAGGATGTTGTTGGGGCTCATGCTCTCTCTTTTTTTTCTTCAGGGCTTTTCTGTACATCTGTCAGAGTGTTTTGATTTTCTTTACAGACAGTAAAGTCCCAGGTAGCAGCATCACAATTTTCCTAGTTAGTTGAAGAATTATCTTTGTGTTGCAGGCCCGGTAGCTCTCCTAGGACTTTTCTGAGGCATCTCTAGGAGGATTTGGGCTTTCTCTGGAGACAGATGAATTCCCAAATATGGCCCCCCAACTTTTTTGGAGGGGTTACCTGAGGATCTTTGTGGTTGTTGGAGAAAGGCCTATGCCTGTAGTTGCTTCAGATTCCTCCCAAGCAGCTCCAGAATGTTTTGGCCTTCCCTAAAGAGGGTGGCATTTCACAGATAGTAGCCACAGACTCCTCCAAAGAACACATTCAAGGAGTTTTGACCATGTTGGAGATATTTTTAGGTAGGGCAGAAATATAAACAGCTAGCAGTTCTCAATGACAAGAGAGAGCTTAGCCTCCCTGGCCTGTTTGCTTTCTCTCTTCCCTCTGGTTTGCTTTTGCTCCAGGTTTTGGAGAAGAAAATGGGACTCGCCTGAACTGACCTCTTGATGGTGGGAGGGTGCTGGCTCTCATAGGTGTGGGAGGAGCAGTGCTGAGGGGTGTAGGGCCGGGAGAAGCAACAGTGGGGGGCTTGGAGGGATTGATGGGGATTTTGCAGCCTTAGGAGGATGGGACCACTCACCAAGGAGTGCCTTAGGCAGTCCCTGCAGCAGAGTCTGAAACACCTCAGCCCTGCAGTCTGAGGACAGTGGGTATTGTAAAATTCTTATAAATTATAGTAGCAATAGGTAAGGGAGATCAAAGTGTTCAAAAGCAAGTAAATAATCACAAAAATGGAGAATTTAAAATTTATTTTCAAACCTAACCTCGGTATTGCTGGTACTTGCACAAGCCCAGTAGACTGACTGTATTCCAACCATTACCAGCATCCTGAGTTTCAGGCCATCTAGACACAACTCAGAGTAGTGTGAAGTTGCTGCATTGACCCATTGAATGAGTGTAGAAAATGTGAAAGTGTTGCGATCTCCAATTTCATGAGGAGGTGCCTTGTCATCTGACAATCACATCTTGAATTTTCACCTAAGCACGACAAAATCCTTCAGAGGGGATATGATGGCTAAGAGAGGGATGGCAGTGGTTGAAAAAGATTGCATCAAGTGGATGGAGTGTCTAAAAATTTGTGGAAATAGCTGCAAAGTAACTGACTTGACCCTTGCTCTTTCCGGTGCAGGGAAAGAGATCACAATCAGAAAGCAGGATAAGGCACAAAGCCCCTGTTTTCATGTCTTCAAAAACTTTGGGTTCTCAAAGTATTGTTGGAAAAAAAGCCAGTTCCTGTGACAGCTGAGAGTGGGTTGGCACTTCTTTGCTCACTGAAATCACACCATCTATATAAAAAAGGGTAAGAAATTTCTTCTTCCTCAAACAGATTTGCTTTTGTTCCCATCTGCACTGTGGTTTGAAGTCTGGAAGATACTGAGAGAAGAGCTAAGTGTGAGACAGACCTTTTCACATTCATGGCATTGTAGATATCTAGATATGGGTATCTGACCCTTCCTCTGCTTTTTTAGCCTATGTGTTGTATGGGGTGGGAGAAATAGGAAGTAAATATATGCTTTTTCTTTAAAAGTGGATGTTAATCAAATAAGCAGCTGCTGGGTTAAGATATCTCATATTGTCAAAAACTAGACAACCCTGCTTTGTTGCAGCTGCTGGCACTGCCCTGGGACTTAGCTTCTAATATTTATGTTGAAAATAAGTCAATTTGGTATCTATGCAGTGAGAAATTCATCATGTTATTAAAATATGGTGTACCCCTAGAAAGGTATCTATTCAGTAAAATCCAGCACATGTCTAACAAGTTGGGAAGGAGTGGAAGCACAGGTAGAGATATATGTGGAGGCTGGGGAGGGTATTTGAAGAAGCGTGTAAAAACACTTATTATAAAAGAGGTTGTGTCAGGGCAAAAAGAAGAATTCTCAGAAAGAAAACACAAGGAAGATAACTTTAAAAGCAGAGAAGGGGGAAAAGGCAATAAAGAGACCAAAGATGGAGTCTGGAGTAGAGGAAGAGCTTTGTCTGAGTAGGAAAAAGAAGAAATATGGAAGAAAAAAGCCTAACATCTGAGCACTGATCTCATGAAAAAGACAGGATCAGTACCTGCAAAGGATCTTGGAGTCATAGGAGATGAATTAAACATGATCCTAAAGGGGCCAGAATCCCTGAGCAGTGTAGAAAAATGAGTCTGCAAAAGAATTCCCGAGCTCTGAGTGAATGTGGTGGCCAGACTCATATGTAGACATCTTGGCTTTGCATTTGTATATAAAGTGCTCAGCACACCCGTGAAACTGTTGTATGAATAAACTAGGCAGAGAAAAGGATAAAGTAGGAAAGTTAGGGAGCGAAGGATACACATACACGAGAGAAAGAAGCACATTACTTTTTTTAAAGGGTAGAATTGTTTTATGGGGAAGACACCAGTGCTTTCCTGTTAGATTGGCTGTGTTTTATTCCTGTCTCTGCCATGGACTGGCTTTGTGATCCCGTGTAAGTCCCTTCATCTCTGTGACACCTTTTTTTTTTTTATTTGTGCCTTTGGATGATGATAAAAACATGCTCCAAGCACAGGTGAGGAAGTTAAATATTCACTGCCCTTCTCCCCCATCAGCTTGCTGTTATCATCATCGTCGTCATCATCATCTTTTACAGGTGAAACAGTGACATGTCCCAGTCTTCAGAGAAAAACATGGTCAAAGAAGCAAGTGTCTGCAATCTCAGCCCCCTCCCACTCCCCCCTTGCTATTAAACCTGAGGGTCTCAGAATCCTCACATCACTGCCTGGAAGGCAGCAGTGTTGAAGGTGAGGAGGGGTGTAGCCCGCTAAGGCTGTCTGCAGGGCCTTCTTACTCAGCTATAGCTGCTGACAGCTATACTGCTATTTATTTATTTGGCTGCTGAGGACAGAAACAGCAGGAGATAATCATAAGAAAATCATAAAAAAGAGGGAAAACCAGCAGATAATATTCTGCAGAGGGATTTAACGGGGTGAAAAATTGTCTCTTGCCGAACTGTCTGTGACACTAAATGCTGTCTATGAGATCTTCACTCTTCCTCCTCAACAGAGGCTTAAGGAAAGCGACAGGCAAGGCTCTGAGCCAGCATCTGGGGGGTTTGAAAATATGACAGGCAGAAGCCTGGGTTTTTCTCATCAGCATCTTTCAGTGGCATGGATACAATCAGTCATTCCGTCTCGTACTCTCTGAACAGGACCGTCCCCTCCTCCTGCCACAGTGAGTTGAGGGGAGGACACTCAGGAAATGCCACTCTACTTCCTATAACCTAGTCTTTCAATTGAGATGAATTTTTTTCCTGTGCTGCAAGAGCATGGTCAAATAGCTGGAAAGGCTGTAGGCAGCATGCTGCTGCTTTAGGAGGCAGGAGTTTCAAAACTAATCCTGAGCTTGTGGTGACAATACGATGATGACAAAGTTGGACCTGCTTGAACAGAGGTGGTGGATGAGATTTAATTCAAACAGGGTGGATCCCTCCCACTGAAGCTCACTTTTTTGAATTCCCCCTGCCATGCTGAAAGCTCCCTTTGGCAGGCAGAGGTGTTGAAGCTTGGGAAGTGTTCCTGTTGTGCTGATTGTGGTGTCATAGTATGATGTGAACTTTATGGTTTTCCAAGGTATGAAGACAGGGTAGGGCATCTGTCTGGATCTGGCTAAGACGGGAAGGGTTCAGCTCATTCTCTAGGGTTGGCTGTACAGACTAAATCAAAAAGCAAACCCTAACTTTTTGTTTTACCTTCAAATACAAGAAAGTGAATGTCAGACTCGGAAAATCTGTGTTTGATTCTCATCTCTGCTAGAGGCTTCAAGTTTAGGTTTGAGGAATTGATTGAATCTTGTTTCCCTTTTTCAAATGAGCACAGTCATTCTTTCTTGACTCCCAGGAGTGATGAGTAGAAATTCACATGCAAGGTTCCCAGGTAGGATGGTGCTAATGGAGGTCTTGTAAATGCATAGTTAAAATTTCTGGGAAGAAATCACAGATGGAAAAGCACTCTGAGCTCTCACCTAACTGCTCCCTCTCCTTACAGGGCTCTTTCTTAAATGCTGTTACTGCCTGTATACATCCCAAGCAGTCAGATTTCTCTTAATAGCCTTAATTGATCTGCTGTTGTATAGGAGGAGATCACATATCAAGCTGAGCATTGTGCCTCAATCCTAAACCAATTTACTATTTCTCTTACTTTCTAATTCTTCTTCTCTTTTCCAAAGAAACCCCAATATAAGTGGAAAGCTTGACTGTAAAGCAGTCAAACAATGAGAGGAGGATGTTCTTCCAGAGTGTAGTAGAGGCAGCATCTTCATAAGACAAACCCCAAAGACATATCAGAAAGCTCGTAGGGGCTGAATCTAGTTTGAACCCCACATGCAAACAACCTTCCTTTCCAAGAAGGTTTAGTTCGTTCTATGGGCTGTTACTGTTTCCCAGTGCAATATTTTTACAGTTGAACTAACATAGGTGCAGGTTCTTTTGTTTCTTCGGGGAAGGGCTGAGATTTAATTCAAAGAAAGATCTCCTTTTACAAACAGGGATTAAAACACTCCATTGAGGTCTGCTCCACTAAAGTAGCAATTTAATCAGTAAAACATGAGTATAGAGGCTCTTTAACTACATAAATCACAGTCCCTTGGTGTTAAGGGCTTGCTTCAGACATGGGGATGTAGGGAGATGCAGCAGTACAGCAACTCCTGACTTCTGTATGTGTATGAATGGGGAGGGGAAGCCACTTGTAGAATTTTTGAAGGTTTGGTGAATACGAAACTGGCTTAAAGACATGCCACGATCCTTACAGTTCTGCCTGAGACAGCCATCAGGTGCAAGGGCTCCATCCTCCTGCCTTGGACCAGGCAGTTAACTAGATTGCAGGTAAAGAGGCTTAGTAAACACAGACTGAAAACACTCTCTTCAAGAAGATTTGAAGCCTGAGGTCTTGATCTTCCAGCCATTAGATTGCATCCATATGGATGACAGGAAGAATATTGTAAAGGAGTGTGTTTCCAAACTGAAGCCAGTTTACAGTTCTCCACTAAAGCATGACGTCTTTTGGATGTCCATCCTGCCCAAAAATGTTGAGCTGTTTGTAATCCATATCCTTTTGTAAAGATGGAAATTGTTCTCTCAGTGGTAATTATTACATAAAAGAACTACATAGGATGTAGCTGAGAGAAAATATTACTTCTCATGCTTATGGCAGCACAGTTCATTTTGGTATCTATGATCAAACAATTCAGTGACAAAGCTATTCAGCAAAATGACGTCCTTTCACTGAGATATTTTGCATGGACTGTGCAGCATCTCCAAACCCAGTATGTGTCGGCACTCAAACAAGCAATTCTCAGCTTCCTCCCAGACAACCATGCTGCCTTTAGACAGTTTTGGGGAAGCACAGAAAAAATCCTTTCTGTTCAAAATTTTGAAGTGTTGACCAGCAGGAGGTTCGCTGCTGATAGACTCCCTTGGCAGTGAAAGACATCATAAATTACCCCAAATGACCTGCATTTCACAAACATTATTTACAGTATTAAAAAAGAAAAGGCAGATCAGGACAATAAGATTGCAGGAAGTCCTCAGGGAAACTTTTAGAAATGCTCCTGCCAAACTCCCTCAGAGTTGCCAGTGTGACCTGTTGTTGCTGGGAAGCCTTTTTCTGGCCACTCTTTGTACCCAGAACATGCTCTGGCATTGCTCTTTACAGAGACAAACAGAGAAGGATGGGGGGGCACAGCGGGCTTGGGAACACTCGCTGTTTACATGAGTGGTGTTAGGATCAGGAAGTATAGGGCCACCATACGGCTGCTTTCCCAATAGCCTTCTCTGACAATAAGAGCCTCTGTCCTGCCATTGCCCCCTCATTACAGCATCTTGGGTGTGCTAGCAGAATGCTTTTTGAGCTACTGAATTGCAGTCACAGTGTCAATATACTGTTGGTGTAGGGGGCACGGTAGGTTTTTGTGACAGGGCCAGTGCATCCCCATCTTGTTGGAGTCTTTCCAGCTGTGCTGAGGTAGTTCTCTTCAAGGATACCACTGCTCCATTCACCTGTGCCATGTGCTGATGTGAAGAAGACACAGAGACCTTGCTTCTGGAGTTGCCTTATCTTCACTTGTCCCTTAAACACCCTTTTGTTCCTGTTACCTGTGTTTTTCCCACCACTCCCTGGCCTGCTCCTGGGGCTCAGATGGAAGGAACTCATGAGCTCTTTGGGAGGGCACTTCTGTGGTGTGCCTGTCTGCAGCAGAACACAAAGTGGGCATCGGGAGTGGCTCAGGACTACAGATCAGCCACAACACAAGTGAAGTCAACAAGCTATGGCAGTAATTGTAAGGGCTTATTGCTTTCCACTTTATTTCCATGTGGGATGGTAAATATAAGCTGCCTCTGACAGGACTTTCATTTTGATTTAACCAAATGAAAATGAATACTTTTTAATGGAGAATTTTCTTGATGGAGTTAACAACCTCCTCCTAGTTCACTGCTCTCAGCACCAAATTGTCACCCATCAGTCCCTTCACATCTGTCCCACCCCCATCCTCAGTGTGACTCATGTTATCAGATGTCTGTTGCAAGGGCCTGGTTTGCAGTCAGTCAATGTCCCAGCGGGCTGAGCATCTGAGCTCCTGCCATGTCAGGGTTTAAAACTGCCATTTCCATCTCCCAAAACTTACCATCAGTGCAAGGCACCAAGAGGTGCAAGTCACTTCAGAAAACTGCATTCATGGTGATTTATCCATGTTTACACAGAGATCCTTGGGCAGCACTAGCAAAAAAATACAAATCTCCTGGCTTCCACTGTATGGATTCATTTTTCTGCCTATACCATCTGGCTCTTTGTGTCAAACACATATATAGTGAGTGTGACAGTGACAAGAGGACAATGATTTCCTCATTAAGGGGCGGAAAGCAGAAAGGAGGCAGAATCCAGCAAGCCTGTGAATTTTCAGAGCCATCAAGTCTGTTTGGGATGGAGGAACAGTGTGTTTGAGTTTGTCAGAGCAGGGCTGTCGCAGGGATCAGAGGCTGTCCTTGGTGGCCTGTCACCGGTGAGTGATTATTGCTTTCTCTCACCTGTGTCCCAAACTTCATCTCTCACGGCCGATGCTTTCCCCTCTCTATATTCCCTTCACACGCCAGCACTCAGCCAGCAAGCAGAGAGGCAGAGAGTGAGCGGGAGAGCTGGCAGGGAGTCAATATATTTCAGTGTTTTATTACTACAGAGCTGAAGTAGCATTTAGTTGGTTAGGCTCTGCGCAGAGTGAGCAGTCTAAGTGACTCAGATATCGGGGCCAACAATTAAAGGCACAACAAAAAATCCATGGATTAATTAGCAGGTCAATGGTGGTTGAGTAGTTATTGCTAAATTACAAGGTTTGCATGTAAGAGATGGGATTGATCACTGGTGTCTGCTGGTTCCTCTGGCTGCGTGTTAGAGATGTGGGTCAGTGGGGGTAGGTTCCCATTGATCGCATGAAAGTGAAGGGGGTCAAGAAAAGTGGGGGAGGGGACTGTTCAGGGCTTATCACCCCCCTTGCACAAGGATACACATTGTGCCTGTTTAACAGAGGTTCAAAATTAATTGATGCCATCTGGCAGGCAGCTCTGTTCCTGCTGCAGCTCTGTGAGGCCGTAGGGATGGGAGAGGGGGGTGGGCCCAGGGAGGAGGATGTATGATATGGTGAGCATCCATAGAGGTGTCCCCTCTCATCATCAAGGGAAAAGAGTGTCTGGAGTGAAAGTGTATCATGACCAATGACAAGGTTTTGAAAAAACACTGAAAGGGCATCGAGGCAT